AAACCATGCCAATGATAAGAATAGGAGGTAGGAATTGGCTATGGTTAGAGTAAAAAGACCCCAAAGAAAAGTAGCCAGTCTCTTGGCTAAAAGTCAAAATGTTCTTAGGCCTGTTAGCAACATACTCTGTTCCAAAGGCCAAAAATGTCAAAAGTTATTTGTGAACTTGTATCTATTAAAAGATTTTAGGGTTACCTCTTCAGAGGGGGAAATGTTGGAGGGGAGGAAGTGGGCATGGATTTGATCAAAACACCTTATATGCATGTATGAAATTCTCAATATAGTTTTTGTAAAAGTTAAAAAAAAAAAAAGAAGAAAAAGGGAAACAAGCTGAGAGAACAGTCAAATGATTTGTTTCTGACTATTTATGGAAGCTCATGTCTGTAACCCCAGCACACAGGAAGCTGAGCAAAAGAATCACTCATGGGTTCAAGGCCAGGCTGGGCTACAAAGTTAGTTCCAGGTCCTGTCAAGGAAAGGAAAGGGGAAGAAGGGAAGCGTTCAGCTCTAATTCATCACTGAGGCCCATTAACACTGAAGTTCTGTAGATAGAAGATATGCAAAGGGCTATACACTGCACTGTTACTATTATGCGCCTAAGAACCATCCTGTTAACTGTTCGTCTCCAAGCAAGCAAGGCAGAACAGAAGCACCCGTGTCGGAGCAGGCTCATCTAGCGGCAACAGGGTTGGTGCTATATGGTCTCTCCCCTACCATACTCTGCTCCTTGAAAACCTCTTGGAATCTCTTCCAGAGACTTCTACAAATTTGTTACTCCCGCTTCCTTTCTGCATAAATGCCCAAATATTTTCTGATTTAACAATTCAAGCTCTGTTGATGTCCAGCAACCCAGAGATTCAGAGCACATTTCCAGCATTTTTTTTTTTTACAGTTTAACAGACTAAGTCAACTTCTGTCACTGGCTCCATAACGCTGAAATGTTTCCTAAGCCTGCACCACACACAGGTACAAGTCCTATGGCAAAATGTTGTATGACTCCTATGTACATTCCCTACCTTCCAATAAATCTGGAATGCAGTTTCAAGGTTGGGTTTACTATGCCCTAACCTCTTTCATCAGCCTCAAGGCTATCCTGCAAAAAAAAAAATCTTCATTGACCATTGTTGGTGTTACCAATCTATTAACTCATTAGATTTTTACTGGATACTATATGCAGAAATGATATCACAACACAAAATTTGCTATAGTTCCAGCTTCAAAAAGCTTACCAACTAGTATAAAAGACAACAAAGCACATGTCTCTAAAAGGTGCACTGAATTCCAACAGGAGCAGTATAAACCAAAAACGGTACAGGGACACCCAGCAGGACCTCTACTAAGTCCAGGGGGGTTCACTAATGCCTCCCAGAAAGAGGATACTTTGAGCACAGACTCACAAAGGGTGTGGTAGTCTATGTGGGAAGTCTTATGTGAGGGAACAATATGTGCTACAATCACACAGACTTCGGAGAATTAAACCCCACCCAATATGGCTGGAAACAGAATGCAAAGCGGGCAGTGCAGAGAGCTAACTCTGGAGAGGCACAAAGGGAAAATGTAAGTCTGGTGGGTAAAATTTAAATTTCTAGAAGGTCGTAGGAAACCACTGTGGGCATTT